CATTACACTTGTAGGAAACTATACATATTGCCATAAAATGGTTGAGCTGCAGTAGAAGCTGAAGATGACCATCAGGACTGGTACTCTGAATGTTTACTGAATGAAAGCTTCTGCTGGGAGAGATGCTAGGAGGTCTTTGCTTTTTGTTTCCTATATTTCCGTGCTCTTTCAGCTGTAGTATAAATGGGCTCCAGTTTGTCAGCATATTTCTTTATGTCTTGCCAAGACCATGATGCTTCTCCAGGCAGCCTTGCAGGAGATGAGTGCAGGAAGCGATGCTGCTTCCATCTCAGTTTCAAATGTAGCCTGTTTTGTTTTCATCTTTATTGCTTTTCCTCAGAAGTCTTTGGCATCCTGTTCTATCAGTTTCCCCAGCTATGTTTTTTAAATACAACTTTCTTATACCTTTCTTACTTCTTAGTACGGTAAACCTTACTAAGCCATTAGTTATTATAAAGAAATAATATCTAGCGTTTTTTTTTTTAATTACTTTCATGCTACTGACTGCCTTTCATAAGCAGAAATGGACTTCCCAGCAGCTTAGGGACATCATCAACTTTTGCTTTTATTTTTACTTTCATTATAGCTCTTCAGGCTTTCTCCTTTGGTTGCTTTCACATCTCTGCCATTTGAGTCATCTTTGAGACTAGAACTTGATCAGCTTTCTCTACTAGAAAAGCCGCACAGAACCATATATTCACTCTTTAATGTTTTTTTGCCCCCTTCCTCCCACAGACACCCTTTATGTTCCAAATAAAGCTCAGGCATCCGTGTATGTTCTGGATTTAGGCTGTTTATTGCCTTTGATTCTCACCACTTACTGTGACTGCAGTTAACTGAAGCAGTGTCCAGCTGGAAGCTAGCAGGCTGGCCAGACAAACACATGAAACCCAACAAATGAATGACATCTACTTTGCCTGCCTGCTTGCCAACAGGCATTTAGCTTGGCAGCACTTACTGCCTTCTTTGAGGGGCTTTATTATGAGGGTCACAGGACTGGCACCTTCACAATCTTAAGGTCTGCTTACCCTCCTGGACTTACCTGCATCAGTTAATTCAGTGATTTTCTGTGTTTGTAAAGATAACTACTTAATGCTTAAGCCTTTAATTTTGCCCTTTCTACAGAAATCCAAGATTGAGATCCCTAAGTGCAGTGTAGACTCATGTTTTTCAGTAGTCTATATTTTATACTGTGGTAAAACTGCAGATTTTTTTCCGTTACTTGTTCATTAATTTGGTTTTTATTTTCACAGTAACTTACTATGTCTGAAAGAATGAGCCCCAAATCTGGGTTTTTTTAAGTCCTTGCCAGGTATATGACTGTTGCGCCACTAAAAGCTTATTGCCATGCTTTGATTTTATCCACATGGAAAATTTGCCTGCCTTTGAGTAAGCATAGAGATTGGGCTTTATACTCAAGTCTTAGGTAACTGGTCTAAAGCTGGTCTGAACATCAGCAATTGGTGTGTTGAGAGACACACCAAGTTACTGCATGTGGATTTGTGCTTTCTCTTGAATATTTTTGCATATGTCCTTAAAAAAAAAATGAGCATTCTACAAGTTGTCTTTAAGATTAGTTGTTTGGAATACATGTCAATCTTGTTTGAGGGACAGTCCTGTATTTTAGCTTCTGAGTTTCAGATCGCATAGGCTAATCTTAAATTGCTCTTGAAGTATGTGAAACAGTCTTTATTACAGCTCTGTGAAGCCTTTGTAGGAATGGCAAGTGTGTATTCATCTCCTGAAAGCTTGTGAAGAATTTGCAGTAGCTCATGATAGAACTTCTCAGCCTCCAGGAATGTAAACTAGATTCAGTGACATTAAAGATAGATGTTCAAAAGAAATTGGCGCATGAACAGAATTGTTTTTTTAATAACTTTTTAAACTTTGCAATTGTGCTGTTTTTCTTGACTGAACAAAATGATTAAATGCTTTTTAAAACCTAGATAAAATAGATTAAAACCTTTTATAAAAAAACTGTTTTGCAGTGAATGTGACTTGGTCTGCAGTGCTTTCAAATACTTTGCTCTGCTGCTGTTCATCTTGAGGTTTGGCTGTCAGATCAGAGCTGTGCTTTAGCAGCAGAAGCCCTTATTGCTCAGGCCCTCTGCTCATTTCATTTTGGTCTGCAAATCAAATGCTGGGCTGAACTCCTGAAATGTAACCAGCTGCCTTCCCTAATTGCTGGTTATCTAAATCAGCCTGGTCTGTACAGCAGGTTTTTGCTGAGTATCAGTCTTTAAAGAAGTTTTTTGTATTTTCTGCCTTTATGGCTTTGTCTTTTGTCATTTTATCATAGGCTTAGACTTGATGTCTCCCAGTCTCATCACATATTATGAAAAGGATGTATCTGATTAAGGGAGGCAACATTGGTTGAGACAGCTTTCTGGCTGAGATTAATGCTCAAAGCTCAAGATCAGCACCCGTGTTGGCACTGAAGAAAATAACATACAGTTTGTTTTATCTGATGTGTTTATCAGTGACAGTAGAGGTTGAAAGATTAAGAAATTACTTAAAATGCTAAGTGTTTAAAGCACATCATACATAATGGCAATCTGGAAAGTAGTAAGAAGGGAGGGAGGTTTACACTCATGCGTCACTTGAAGCTTTTAGCGGATGATTTAGTAGGTAGGATTAATGCTTTGGAATAGTTGGGATTGATGGCTTTGAAGTCTTCAGTTCAAGCTTTTGTGAAGTTGATTGTGTTATTGTGCATTGATTTCTTCTTTGCTTGTTTGTGGAGGGCGTTATCTTTCAAACTTTTAGACCTTCCAAAGTAAGCAAAAGTTGTTAAGAAATTGAGGTCCAGACTGTGACAGTAGCAAGCAGAAATACAGAATGAGCAATGAGAAATTCCAAGAAGGGAATTTTAATATTGGAGGCAATCAACTGTTTTGACCAATGACTAAAATTTACATTACTTTTAGCGAGTAGGGTGTGTTTGGTATGGTTTTTCAATTTTAATGATGTTAAATAGAGAACAAACCCCACTCTTTGTATAACATTTTGTTTGTATATCATTACCCCTAATGTAAAGAAGTCATCTTCCCTTTCTTGACTGCGGGATTTGAACAACTTTTAGTAATGGTTAAAAGAATACAGCAAACACATCAACTACGATTTCACCTTTCAGCTGCTTTCTTGAAAGAGTATGTTTGCAGTACATGGTTTTGCTGGCAGGGGCTTCAATGTGTATATGGACTACTGGGTGGGCACTGGGGAAGGAGATAGGAGACATATGACTTGCACCTGGTTTGAGGTCTCTGCTGGGGTTGATGATTTGATTACCCTGAGGAACCCAACCCATTGTCTCATGTTAGTTCCTGAGGATGCTTCCTGTCTTCTGCACATACTAACTTCATCCTGCTTACAAAAAGGTCTGTTGAGGTGGGAGCTTCAACTGCAGACTTTTCCTGGACTCCAGGAAGGCTTTTTAGGCAAATGCTTGACAGCAAGTTTTGATGGTGTGTTATGAAACCTTAGGGTAAATCCAAGACCTCTTGGCAGCTGAGCTGAAGCATGTGTTTGAGCAGTAATGCCCAAAGAAAAGTAACAACTGTGGTGACAGTGGTTAAGAGATGATGATTTGTGCACAGTGGTTAAGAGATGATGATTTGTGCACTGATTTCTTGCAAGAGAACTTTCTCTAAAGGTTGGGTCTGAGGGTTGTTTTGTGCTTTTCAGTAGGAGTCTATAGAAATAAAAATGCACAGCAAAATTGTGGGTGTAGTGACTTCAGCCAGAAGAGGCTGAATTGCAGCTACAAATCTTTGGACTGCTTCCCTCTTCCCACTCTCCTGGTTGAATCTGTTATATGGAACATGCAGCGTGTAGGTTTTAACATCCCCAGCATTTGCTGAATCTGCTAGGCGTCTTTGCAGCCTGCAGGATCAGCTGTGGTGGCTGGACCAGTAAAGCCTGCCAGACTGCACAGGCCATTGCTCCATGGCTACTCCATCATACTACACACAAAAAGGGGTCCCTTTGGGCATGTCTGCTCTGTCAGTGTGGCATGCTGTGAGGCCACTGAGAAGCAAAATGATAGACAAGATTAATTAGCCTCAGTACGGCATTAAATATATTATCTTGGGGTTTGGAAGGAAGCCCTGCATGGTGTTGCCTTGCTTTGTGTTTCTCCTGCTCAGAGCAGGCTGGGCACACCTAAATTCACCTCACACAGTGCAGCATAGATGTGTCCTGGCTTTGTTGCTGCCAGAGCCGGGTTAGTACACCTTGTTAGATCATGTTGCAGCCTGTCTAGATTTGGAGGAGCAATCAAACATGTCCTTAACAGCAGCTCTGCACTCACTTCTAGGTGATTCTTAGGTCTCTAATGACAGACATCCTTTTAAAACCCAAGCTGTGTCTTCTTAAACATTTTTTCCTTTAAAGTATTGCACATGCATTTTAAGTCACTTGAGCTTGCTTGCTTTCTACTTGTGCCTTTTTTTCCATCGCGCTTGCTGGTCAGAGAAAGAATGTAAATTTTCCATGTATTTTATATGTATACATATACATACCCACTTTAGCTCTTACGCTTCTCTCACAGCCTTTTGCCGTGGGTGAGCGGAACTTAGTCAGCAAAGAAAGCAAACAGAGAGCAGACCCATCGCCCCCTGCTCCTTGAAAGAGCAGAGGGCATGTAGAATAAATCAAAATGCGAAGCATAATAACAAGGTCCCATGGGAAAGGGAGCCTTGTGATTGTGTGCTGGCGTGCACTCCCCTTAGAGACGGCAGCTGGGGGGCTCACCCCATGGCGGCCAGGGGACTCCTTTCTTTCTCGTCTGCCTCTCCCCTCCCGATGTCACTGATCCATTCACCGCCCAGAGAATTGATTAACATTCGTTGGGAGACAGGGAAAAAGGGGAAGAGCGGAGGGCAAGGGGAAGGGGGGCACGAGCTGGTGATGCTGGTCCCCAGGACGCGGCAAGTGGAGGCACGGTCAGGCGCAGGATGGCTATTTTATAGCTGGGGACCGCGGTGACGTATGGCTGAGCGCTTGCTGGCAGTGCTCCTCGTGGACCAGTCAGCGGAGCGAAATTGAAGCTGACAAGACTTTTCTGGCGTTTTGGAAAGGACTGTAATCTACTGTAGGGGAGAACAGAGCCATTCAAACACTGCCGCTGTAAATAGGAGACGGAAGGGAGTGAGAAAGGAGGCGAAGAGAAAAAGTGCTTGCTGGGGGGGGAGGGGGGGGCGGCATTTTTGGTGGATGGTATGAAGCCAGCCATGGAAACTGCAGCAGAGGAAAATGCAGAACAAAGCCAAGAGAAAAAAGGTACCCAGGGGTCTAACAATAGCCTGTTTAAATCTTTTCATTCAGGGGGCTTAAAGAGGTTTAGGCCAGTTCTGTCACTTTTTCAAATAGCTCTTAAACAGTCATTACTGCATCTTCGGGCTTTCAGCTGTCCTTTCCTGCATGGCTTGACAGCAAATTAATAGAGAGCAATCTTTCTGTCTGTGTCTGTATTTGCTCTGAATCTGTCCTAACCCTACCCAAAATGATGTTTGCAAAAGAATTCTTGTTATTGCTGCATCTTTGATACATTTTGGTAAATTTGGTTTACAGAGATAGCATGTGCCTGTGTGTTTGCATATTGTTTTCAGAGCCATAATCTGGTGTCTTCATGAAGACTGGCCATGTAGCAAGGCTTTGCAATGCAGTGTGGGAGACCTAGGTTATAATAACATATAATATGTCGTAATATCTCATAATGTTTGTGGAGCTAGCTTGATGAAAATGCTACTTTTATTTTTAAATTCCTTTTCTGTGGTGTCATCCGGCAAATTTTGCTATTGTAGAGATCTGCTTATGGTATGGTAATGGGGAATAATGCAGTGAGTTTCACAACATTAGATTTCAGGATCTGTTAATCACCAGGAATTGTTGCTTAATGGAGAGAACAATTCCATGGTAGTGGTTCTGCGGTAGAGAGATGGAAGCGCAGAAGGGAGAGGTGCTTCATCCATCCCAGCCTTCCTTACAGGTGATTTATTTGGTCTGGAGTGCTGAACTTCAGAGGGTAAATTCAGCTACTGAAAGATGTTTTGTTTCTGCATCATATAATTTATGACAAGTGAATGTCCCTCTTCAGTGTGGCAGACTGTGTATGAATTATAGCAATGGTGTTTTGCAAAATGATACAGCAGCAACAAAATTACTGAAATTTCTACTGCCTTTTTTACATGAGTTGTTGTATACTTTTGAACCTGTTGTGTCATTTATAAGCAATCTAAGTGTCTCAGAGGCATAAGCAGCTGGTACACGACTAATACATTTTGCCAAGTGGAATTGTTTCATTTATTGTTAAACAGTTCAGATACGAACATAATGACAAATCCCTGTACTGTCCAGTACCAGATTCTGTTTTCCTACTTCGAATCTGATTCCTCCTACACACTTTGTATGATTCAAACCTAGCTTCAGTTTCAAGTAAATGAAATTTGTCAAGTGATTATACATAGTACTACATAATCCGTTAGGGATTTCACAAAAGGAGGTCCACTGATAAAGAGATTAAACTCTGAAAGCCATTATTGTATGTGGACAATAACCCACCTCACTGTAGATGTTGAGTAATTAATGTACAAAATGTCCTAAATACATTGACTGTAAAACCACTTCGAACTCGTAGATCAGTCTTCAAAAATTACAGCATTTTTTGCTTCTGATTGATGAGTTGCCTTTAAACTGATAGAATTCATGTACAATAAACACCAAAGAAAGTTATCCGTATGCATCAGCAGCTGTGCAAAACGAAATCTGTTGCTGAGTGTGTTTATGATGAATTTATGGTTTCCCTTTTGTTTTGGCAAGGATGAAAGCACAACATGTAGAGCAGTAAATCTGTTACCAAGTCAGGGTGCTTGATCTGTTGCCTTCATATGATGCAAGTAGAGGAACTTCCTATCTTAATTTTACCACCATTTCCTAGTTTTTCTGTGATAATTTTATACTTTGGATCTGTTACATAGGTATGTGTATGTAACACTTCAAGGCTTTGTTCTTGCCAGTTCCCTAATTTCTCAAAGTAACACATGGTCTCTCACATTATGCTCTTTTTTTCCTATTCGCTTAAATTCCCAATATGTTTCACAGTGAACTAAAATACAGAAAGCTCAAACAGTCCCACTCCTAGTCTCAATACCAAAATAATTAGCCCAGGTCTCCCTGCAATGTTACTGCCATGGAGCAGTGATGTAGGAGGAATATTTGATTTGGGGGGGACACGGCAGATTTTACAGAATGCTAAGGCTGTTGAGCCCAGTTGGGTTTTCAGATGGGCTCAGCAGGTTTAAGGTACTTCTGAAATGGCAGGATTTTTCAAGAGGGTTCTTTTCCCTTTTCTCATGTTTCTCCATGAACAGTTCTCATGGAGAAAAATGAGTTTTTTCTCTGTGTGAATAAACTTCCAGGAAAATGCTGCTGCTTCATTTTGGGAGTATGAAATAGAAGATGACACCTTAAAAAATGATTCCATTTGTTGTCTGGACTGGATCCCTTGCTTTTTGTGCCTTACATGCTTGCTAGGCTTGCAACATTTGCTTCTCCCTCTAAGATCCTACCAGGACTTAGTGTAATGGCCATGCTTTATGTGATGCCCTAGATCCAGTGATTGCAAGGCAGCCACCACAGCTTGAAGCAATTGAAGTGCTATCACAAAGTTTTAACTCTTCCTTCCGGAAATGAATTGCCCAAGGAGATAACTGAACATCTGAAGGAGTTTGGGGGATGTCACTGTTGCTAATATTGAGCAAGAGGTCCTGAGCATTCCACTTTGGGTATTCAGGTTCACAGACAGTATACTGTCCGCTGCCAAGTTCTGGGGAAAGTATTTGCATTTAGCTAATAGCAAAATGTACTTTTAATCTAAGAGGTTTTTCCCCCGTAAAAAAAAATTTAAATTACACTTTTCCGGGTTGGATTTTTTAATGAAAGGACCTCCTCAGTGATGTGCTGTGTTTGTATAGAATACACACTTGGAGGAAGTTGGGTTGGGACTACATGCTGTCTGTACACACGGCTCCCCGTACTCAGGAGAGCTCTGGAGAGCGATAACTGCCCAAGCACTTGGCATGAGCAGCGAGATCTATTTTCGGTTCAAGCACCATAATACAGTCAGATCTGAATGGTGGTGTCTCATAGGTACTGGTTTGCATTTCCCATCCCTGTGGCAAATGTGGATGGCTAGTTATTTCGGATTGCAGTCTAGCTGAGACAATTTACACATGCTAATGTGCTTTATGAATAATTACTGAATGATAAATGAAAATGATTGATCTTATTTAGAATTTTAAAGTTTGCAAAATTTTATATGAATTCCAGGTTTGTATTTTAATAATTATTATCATGAATATCCTGCCTGATTCAGTGGATGGATTCAGTGTTTATCAGACATTTGTTTCTCCGCACCCAGATGAGTGGCAGCTGCCCCAGTTTTTTAATTGGAAACGGAGCAACACCCATGTTGATGGAGATAAGAAAGAAGTCAGCTTTATATACTGTGTATCAGCAGCCCTTATCAGAAGAGAACACCATGAGCAAGCTGAAGCAAAATAATAACAGATACTTTACAGGGCTGCAGGACAGATTGGATACATTTTAAAGATGAAGGTTTGCAAATTATTACAAATGACAGGGTTTGTCTTGCAGGCATTAAATTAAATCAAAATGTGAGGTCTGGGCAGGCAGATTTACTGAGGTGGAATATATAAGAAAAACGAAATGACGTTTTGCATCAGCAGTGAACGATATAGATCCTGATACACATTAATGGAGACAAGAAGTTTCCCTTTACATTTAACTATGAGAAATTCTACCAGGTTTCAAAATAAAAAAAAATAAATAAATCAAATACAAACAAACAAAACCTCACCTCAACTGTGGATGACCATAGTGCATTCACCAGGTACGCATGGGAGGACGGAAGAAAGCTATTACACTAGGATATAGATTCCGTGTATGAGCACATATGATGTTTGAATTGTATATGCTGTGCTGGGGAATAATGAAAACCAGACAGAGCAGCTGTACCAAAGGTTCCTTTTAATTGGCTCTTCTCTACTAATTTGCTCTCCATGAAAGATGTTGTGCTCAGGAATGGCTGTGAGCTTTATTATTTTCATCATATATGAAGCGATCTTTCTACTCTTAAACCCTAAGTAGACAAGTATATGCCAGTCAAAAATAGAAACAAAATAGTTAAACACAACTGTGTGGATGCGTAAATGAAGCTGCTGAAGTCTGATGTGAGAAAGGGGTAAGTTAATGTGCAGTTTATTAACTTTTAGTGAATTTTTTTATGCAGTGAGCTTATGACATATTAATGTGCTACAGGTAGATGTACTTTGCATGACAGCAAATTGAAAAAATTGTCTCTTTTTAGATGTGTTATATTATTTAGTATATAATAAAAATTTTCAAGCATACCCATTTAATGTTAGGCTCACACAGTGGTATCAGAGCTGTCAAGCTGTGTAAAGATTTGTGTGCTGCATATTTTTGCCCATTTTATACAGCTTATTGGTGTTTCAGATTCCCTGAAAACACTTAACTGCCTTAAGTCCCTGAAGAGTATGACTGTAGGAAGAGAGGTCCAGCCCAGAGAGAATCTGGGACACACAATATTCTGGGGATAATAATTTGGTAGGCTTAGTGATTTAGGTTTTAATGAATAGGATTTGGTTCCCAAATAGGAGAGGGTTGAAAAATACTTAGAGAATGTACTCATACTGGTCTGGACAACCTCATGAAAGCAGAAAACCCAGACATATGTGTCACAGGATACAGTAATTGGGAGGGGAGCCCAGATGGCACTGCATGTGCATAATGGACTCTTCAGTGGGAGCAAAAAGGGGAAGCAAAGAGGGGTTAAGGGAGTCCCCTTTGGTTACTCTGACCCTTCCCCGTTTTCTGACCACCCTTGCTCCTAATGCACTATTCATCACCAGGTTGCCAGATCATAAATGACCAAATGACAGCCCTCTCTTTGCTCCTACGGACTGCTTCGTCAGCTGCAACAGATGAATGTCATAACTGTTTGCTCTAAAACCATATGCTAAAGGCAGCAAGCGTGAGGATGTTGAGCGCTGGGAGTTTTATTACAGGCGTGCAAGATGACTCATACCAATGAATATTGAACACCACAGTCGCCATCATTGTGCCTGCGTGGTGTGACATGAAAACATTGTCACTTCTATAGCTACTGCGACTGTGCAGGGTTGAGTACAACCTGGTGCTGACAGCAGGGCTTGAGGTGCGTGAGCTTGGCTGTGCATGGAGAATGTTGTAACCTAGACCTGGGAATGCAGTCAGTGTAGTTAGTTCCTCAGAAAGCAGAAGGTAAAGAAGTCATTTAAAGCTACTTCCTTTCTTAACTATTGAGGTACAGAGTTAAACTTCTAACTCATACATACTGTGTTCAGTAGTTGTTATGTCCCTGAAGCTTGTGGAGCTTTTGACCTGGTGATGATGGGCCTCGGTAGGTCCCAGCAAAGGCACCAAAGATGCTCTTCAACTTCAGAGGTCATGCCAGGCTTGCAGTAAGGGCTACCAAACAGCCATTGCTAAGTGGCTCTTTGTAGAGCAGGACAAAACCTGAGATTCCTTATGGAATTTGGGCTGGCTTGTAATGAAAGAAGCCCTGTTACTGCAAAATCAGAAATTGCTAATTAAAAAAAAAAAAACTTCATAAAATATTTTCATTTACAGAAATTATATTGTCTCCACATTTACAGTTTTCATGTTTGTCCCACAGCAGACAGTGGTAACTTCACCAGTGTCTCCCCAGGCCAGGGTAGAAAGCAAGCTGCATGCTCTGCTGCCCAGATCCAAGTGGATTTTGTAGCTATTGCAAGAGAAATCACGAATTGTGTGTTTAGGCCTGGCAGGATAAAATCCTTTTGGTGTCAAGAGTTTGGTCTAGATACTATTGTAGTGCAAAAGAAAAAATTAAATAATACTAAAATACATAAATAATATTAAAAATAACCAGTCCTTTAAACTTATTTATTTTTGAATCTGAATCTCTTACCAATATCCAGTAAGTAGCTTCAAAAAAGCAGGGGGCAGTTGGGAGGGAGGAGGGAAATGATATTCAGTACCAGGAAAGAATTCTCTTATTTTCAGTTTCATATTCAAGTCATTTTACTATGGTGTTCCTTCTGATCACAGAATCATAGAATGGTTTGGGTTGGAAAGGACCTTAAGATCATCTAGATCTCATAAACAGGATTCTTCCTGTGCAAGCAAAAGGAGATGATATCACTCTGAGTGTGCACATTTTGGAACAATACCTTTGACACCTTTTGAATTTGGTTATGCTCGTAAGATGTGGAATTTGTCTTTCCTAAAAGGAAGGGTAAGCCATACAAAATGGAATAATGTCTTGTAGGAAAAACACGCTGCCTAATGCCTGCTTGGCAGCCATAAAGTATCCTTTAGAGAGTCACTGATACTAAGTTTGCATCCCAAACCCAGAAGACTGTGTTAGAGTTTATTTGCTGATGTAGAAGATGAACAAAAAAATTCTTGTCTCAAATCTCTGGATCCAGCATTTGGATTTGAGGCAGAGATTTTTTTTCTCTTCTTGACATATGCAGATGTAACTGTGCCAAACTCCTCATTGCACCAGCAGCAAAACCATGTGAGAGAGGGACCAGGTCCAGGACCTTCCTAAGCCCCTCAGGGACCAGAAATACATGGTACTCCTACTCCCCCTGCCCCCAGAATTTGTTTGTGATTGCGTCTACCCCAGATGGATTTTCAGCATTGTAACCTTCACTTCCTCCACATGCCTGAACACTGCTGAACTGAATTTATTTTGGCCAGAGATGATGGTTGCTTTCTTGATTTAGGAACCGCAGAGTGGGACTGCAGTGCGTTTTAAATGAAGACCTGTCCGTCTCACCCTGACAGCCTTGACAAAGCCATAACAGTGCTGAGGGGGACGTGTCAGTTCGAAAGTGGTTTGATGTTGTTTTGCCAGTGGCCTCTTTCAGGAGGCTTGGAAGCCCCATGCTGGTGAATGTGTGATGGGTGTGCAGGAGGGTCAGGTGTGGTTCTGCATGTGGGGTCTTGCTGCTGAGCTTCAGCTGTCCTCTGAAGAATAACTGCTCTCCTTCATTGTAAACTTAGAACAAGTCTGTTTTAACATACTCGGTTCAGATTTTTGGACCTGAGCAGAGCCTAGGTAAAATAAAGCCCGTGACTTTTTAATGTATGAAAATAACGGAGCAATCGCCTGTGTTTGCCCTACCATTACACATCACAGTAACCATTTTCTTTAACAGATTTAGTCTTCTAAAAAAACAGATAACATGGCTTTCCATGACTTTGTCTTTCTTTACTTCTGGTACAGCACTTTTCACCATGGACAAAGAGAGAAAGCTGTGAGAGTGGGTGGGAGGGACAAATGACAAGTCCTTCCTTACATGTTTAATTCAAATACTAGCCAGAGTTTTAGCTATTCAACCTTTCTTAACACCTGTGCTAGCATTTCCCTGTCAACAGTCCCTTCCAACCCTTCCCTTGGTTTGTCAGCTTATGTTGTTTCACTTCTGAAACTACAGTGTTTTTTTCTGGGCTCTTAGTTTTTAAAGTTAAATGATTGAAAGTGCTGAACTAAAACTTGCTGGTGACACTGACTTTTTACCACCTAAAATTGGCAGTGATCACCAGACCAGAAATGGAAATTGGCAGGTACCACTGGATGTACAGGAGTTCAAGGCCACACCGGTACCATCATGTGCCAGCATTGAGAGGCAATATTAGTCCTTTGGGGATTCAAGGTAAATAAAGGGCTGGGTGAAAGGGAAATGGAGAGTTCAGAAATGGTAGTAGCATAAACCTAATGCTTTGCACTAGTCCTAACAATTTAAGATAAATGTCCTTCTATTTTTCTTGTTTTGTTTGTTAAGGCTGTAAAGAGTTCTTCCATTTGAATATTTACTGTAAACTTAAATTTGGTTGTTAATGCTTGAAAGACAATAATGTGCGGTGAGGGCCACCTCATTTTTAACTGTGCTGCCCGATTGCTTCAAAACTGTTTACAGATAAGATGGCGTAGTATGGGTTTTGTATGCCAATGAGTCTATCAAACTTGTCAGTCACAGCTGCGGTAATTGATACTAAGTTGACCCACAGCACATCTGACTTACTGGTCTGCTACAGTACACTTCCTAGGAAACGTTCTGTGCTTTTGTTTGCATTTTTCCCTTGCTAGAAGCAGTAAGTGTGTATGTCAGAACCTAAAGGAGGATTCCAGCTGAGGCTTTAAAAATGGTTTGGCAATTCCACATGCCTGTTCTTTCACTATCTGGCTTGAGACCTCAAAAAGATCCTGCTTCGTTTTCTGGAAGCTTTATTTTAAGAGTTCAGGAGAATTTAGTTTTGAAGCTTCTCAGAAAGACACCTGAAATCAAGCACATGATTGATTGCATTGGAAAATTCCAGTCTGAGAGTTAGCACAGCGAAGGATATAAATGCTCAGAGACAGCATTTTCAGCTAGCTCTGTCCAGCAGTCCTCTTCCCTTGATGGAGCTGATTGAAGTCTGCTTGAAGCGTGTTTGCTGGAGGTGTCTGCCTCCACATTAGAGATTTAACAAGAGTTGCAGGGAAATACTCACCAAAGCTTGCTGCCTCATCCTTCACCTTTCCATTACATTTGCACACTTTTGGTCTTTAGGTTTCAAATGTTTATGTATTTCAGAACGGCTTTTTTTTTTTTCTACCTCAGATACTTAGGTTGCAATTCATGATCTCCGTCTTCAATATTAATATTCTTTTTAGGCATATTTTATGATAAATTACCTGGGTGACAGACTGGCTGCCAAAAGACATTCCAAACTTCAGATCTGCGCACATAGCATACTTTATACACAACAGAAATGCTTCAGGAAGGAGCAATAGGTTATGAATGCTGCTTCCTGGGCTGTAGGAGCAGGCCAGGTCCCTGGTTATCAGTGTGTTTTGCCTCTTCATCTGTCCCAGTGATGAGACACGTCCATATGTACTGGCATGGATGAGCCAGGACACAGAGGAAACTCATAGCATTCTGTTGCAGCAGCTGGGAGTCTGGCACCTAAAATGGTGCTAGAGACCCTTGTTTAGGTAACTAAACACTATTCAGGCTGCCTTGGGAATCTTCCTGAAGTAACATGCAGGTAAATGTGGTGCCCGTCATGGAGAAGTTGAAAAAGGGGTTAAACTGCCCCCACTAACAAAGCCCAGAAATGCTAATTCAAAGGGGAGGCCCTTTAAATGGCTGCAGTTAAATTAAAATGTTTTTAGGCAGTGATGAAACAGATTTCAAATAAGACTAATCTACCAGTGATGTATTAACCACAGTGAAAATACTGGTCTTTGTTCCTTCCCTTAGATTGGAAGGAAATGTTGCTTCTGTCACAACCCAAGTCACAGGTGTAACATGTCTCCCTTCAGTACTGGCATACAGCTCCCCACTGCTGGGTTGCACTGGCTACTGTGCTGAGATAAACTCTCCATTTCTCTGACAAGCCACATTATTTCTTGGTTGCCTTTGCAGTATGGACGTTTTTACTTTGCCTCCCCTGTCAGTGTCTGAATGGACATCACTAGGAGAGCACCTTTGTGGCAGTTCTCGTGGCATCCATCTCTTCTCTCAGGGTCTTCAGATATGACATGATCTCCCTTCCCCATTTTAAGCTTTATGCAGTACTTGAGCTATGAGGGAAGAGTCAGCGTGGGATATTCACTGTGGTGTTGGAGCTAAGACATCCCCAGAACACCTGCAAGCTTAATGAGCCTTTCAAAATGCCTAGAACAATTTTTTCCCAGGAAGCAAAGTACCATCTTTTACTTAACTAAGAGAAACTTAGCAATGGTTGTTTAACATGAGCTTAGCTCTGGGCAGTCTTCCAGGCTGGGTGGGTGTTGTTTGCTTTATGGGAATCTTTTTTTTTTTTTGTTCTTCTTTTTATTTCCCTTGACTTGTTTCCCCAGATGCTGGGAGGTGTTTCAGCTGCTTTGTGAGCACATGAAGGCGTATGTGAAGTATCTCACTGAAACAGCCTGCTCCCTTAATGAAGCAAGCTTACATTTTGAAAATGGTGTGGTGGTGGCTCAACTGGAGAAATACCTGCATGAAATCTCTTGCAGGGCAAAAGATTTCTCCAGCTGTGGTTCAAGTTTCTTATCGCTCCTCTAGTTCCATGGTTGAGTAAATGTCTGAGAAGACCTTGGCATCTTCAGTTGTCTCTGAAATGGAGAATTTACCTTCCAAATCTCATATCCACCAGGCTGAAGTTCTGCCCACCACACCCCCCCCCCCCCCCCCCAGTTTTTGGCCCTCAGCTGTAGGGAGAGACGGGTTGTGTTTCTGTTTGCTTCTTTGTAGCTAGGGAGGAGTCAACTGGGGAAGCGGTCCGTAGCTGTGACTGAAATCCAGTGTGGGTCAAGTCTTGCTCTCCTGCTGAGTTCTGAAGGTTGATGGAGAGTGAGGTGAGTTGCAGCTGCCAGAAAGGTGGAGCTAAGAGTCTCAACTACAGTTTTCCAGGTAAGATACTCACCTTTGATTAAAGTCAGCTTTAAAGATCATGTCAACCAAGTACAGGTGGCTCTGGAGGATGGTTGAATCAAGAAAACCCAAATGTCCTTACAGAAGGTTTCACAGAACTGCTGAAGTAGCCCCGGGGGACTGAAATGCTTAGGTGCTTTTGTGCTGCCCCCAGTGAGCTTGTCTAGGCCTTCAGGCATTTGATTATCTTTGGCAGTCTGCCCGTTGCTTCATCTACTTTACCTCTTTGGCTTGATTTGTCCAAAGTTATCACCTGGACTGGCATCTACTGATGCAGCAGTTCTTGCATGTTGACCATTCAGCATGTTTCTGCAAGAAGGAAGGGAGGGAGGTCAGGGTAAAGGCACCAAGGAGGAATGTCTTCAGGCACGTTTTCCAGTGAGTTGTTGCTATGTCATCTGAGAGTTACAGCCACAGTTTGGAGCAGCAGCTGCCCTTGCTGGTGCAATGTGTTTGAACTTTGAGCTCTGTGTGTCAATGAGCTCTTCCACATGCTCCTGCTGTGCAGAAGTCCCAAGGGTTATTTTGCATAGTAAAACAGTAGAATGAGTCTCCGGGAGGAATAATGCCAAAACTCATATGAGTACTGCTTGAGTCATCCCTTACATGAGAAGTCTCTTTTTAAATCACCAACCTAATTTTTTTCTGTGCAGAAGTAGCTTACAGCTAAAAGATCTTAATCCATAAGGATTCCCTTATAAATCTGATTCAAGTAAGGCCTTTTCCAAAGTATAAATTAGGTATTTTTCTTCTGCTGTGGTTTCCAGTGTTTCATAGGCCAAAAGTAAAACAGACAAGACATGAATTAAAACTTAAGTTCTGCCTGACCTATGTCCAAGGCCTGGACGAGAGCAATTCCCTTGTCCCACTGTCTCATGGGGCAGCGGTGTTCTCGCCATGCAGGTCTGACTCCTAGCTCTCACTCAGCAAACGCCTCGTATGGGCACTTGCAATAAGCATGGATGTAGTGATTCATCTTTCATAGATTGTCCTGCCTGAAAAAGATGCCTTCAGAACGCCTGTGAGCTTAATGAGCCTTACAGAGGCTGGGAATGATATAGATGGGAAGTGTGTGCATTCATTTCAGTGAATTTGAAGAAGATGAATTAGAGAAAGCCTGTGAAAGGCAATGCAGATCATCTGTCCTCAGATGAAATGGGTTTGATTCCTACAGTGGGAATGTGGTTTTTTGTGGGTTTTTTGTTTTGTTTTGTTTTTAAGAAGAAGTCTGGTTTGGACCTGAGATTTGAAGAAAACCAGGGTTTATGTTTACAGCTGTCTTAGAGTCTTTTCTCTGTCCTTTAACAGCATTCAGAAGAGACAAATCTTGCCTTGATAAAACAGACTTTTATGCAATCTGGAGGTTGTGTTTTCATTAGTGAGGGGAAAAATTAAATTGCCTTTTGCTGTTGATGAACATTGATAACCTCTGCCAGGGGTATTTGGGTTGGTTTTTTTTTTGTTCCTAGTGTGTATCAGTTCTTCTGGTTTCTCTGCACTGGTTCCACCACAGGAAGCATGAGCAAGGCTTTATAGTTCTCTATGACACTAGAGTATGGAAGCTTCTAAAGAAGTTTAAAAATGGAAGGTGTAAAACTGGTAAAAGAAAATAAATACATTCTCAGAAGTGGGGACCTAGGTGCAATGCAGTGCTGAAACCACATCTGTCTTACATGTATCAAGAATATCTGAAGAGGTTGCCATTAATGTTGAAAACCTTCAGAAAAGATCTACTTGTTCTTCGGGTAGCTCTTAAATATTGCAGGTTGGGATGAGACTTACTGGATGGATCAGACTTACTGCAGGTCTCACTGCTTTTCACTTGAATGAAGCATCTTGTGCTAGCCACTGTGATGGATGAGAGTGGTTGTCTTGCTGGATTTCAGGTCTGATCCTTGGTGGCAGCTTTGATGTCTGTGGTCTCCAAAGGTCATGTCTTCTGCATCACAGATACTGTACTGGCTAGGAAGGAGAATTTATTGATTAACAACTGGAAGAGCAGGATGTGATTGCAGGCTGGGGGGAGATTATCGATCTTTCTAGACCAAAATACCCTTGCATAAAGTTTTCTGGCTCTCATGAACAGTTCATTTTTAGTATAAATTAATTTCACAACTTCTGATTTGTGAAGGACAAAAAGGCAAAATTAGGAGAGGCTGAACTTGAAGCTATCTGTGGAAGAGCTTTAAGAAATTTGTGGGAGGAAAATAAAGGACTTTCTCTATTTGAGTTCA